AGTGCTGTGATGTGCCCAGTGTGGGCACTCAGGGCACTCCAAGCCAGGACTGCTTTGCAAGCGGGGCACCCCTTAGAACTGTCTGTCCGGGGTGGGGGTCGGGTCCCTTTAAGCGCAGCCCTCGGCTAGCCTGAGACAGCATCTCCACGCTCTAAGTCCTCCTCTGATGCCCTGCCGGCACTGCTTCCGGCCATCCTTAAGCCCTGTTCAGGGTCCACTCAATGTGGACTTGCTAGTTCGAATTAGCAAAACGCTAATTCGAACTAGTTTTTAGTTCTAGACGCGTTAGTTCGAATTAGCTTAGTTCGAATTAACTAATTCGAACTAAGTTAGTTCGAATTAACGTTGTAGTGTAGACGTACCCATTGAGACTATAGGGCTTCTCCACATGACTCTGATTCTCCTATGTAACAGATGGGTGTAGAGAACAACAGTTAAGGTTAGGAAGACCTTTGCATATCTCATCTCACAATTAAACTTCTACCAAGTTACTCCAGGTATTGCATCCACTATTGACAGTGAATACACCTAGAGTGCATTCAGATATTTTCCAGTGACTATTTCCACCTCTAGATAAAGAGTGAAGGTAGCATTAGCATGTACTTTAATTCTGTGTTTCCTGAATTTCAAGTGCTTTGAATTTTGCTAAACTTGACCTTTTAGAAGGGTGTGAAATAACTCTGGGCAACCTGAAGTGCTTTAATGAAGGCTTTTGTCAGTTAGTTCTGTAGCTAGAACTAATTTAGTTCTTCGAGTGCTTGGTCATGTCCGTTCCATGTAGGTGTGCATATGCCGTGTGTACGAATATTAAAAGCTTTTCCTCCTCAGTGGTACTGTTGGGCCAGCTGAGGGCCCCCTTGAGTGGTTCCTGTATATCAACGGATATATACCCCTGCTTGCCCTACCCCCTTCAGTTCCTTCTTACTGCCTGTGATGATTGTTGGAATGCTCCTTGCTTGTGCTTGCAAGTGTGTCCTTAGTGGTCTACCTGTACATAATTTAGCTATAAGTAGTTTAGAAATGTAATCCGTTAGTGTTACTTAGATAGTAGTAGCAGATCTTCCGATGGCTGCTTCTCCTTGATGTGGAATGCCTGGGCCACACAGCTTTAAACCGTGCTTGCACTGTTTGAAACCTATGCCCTACAGCAGACCCCACAATGCCTGCTTCAAGTGTCTGGGGGAGGAACTATTGTCCGGGAGCTGCAAAATTTGAAGAGCCTTTTAGCCCAGGACAAAAAAGGGAGAGGGACTCCAGACTAAAACTTTTGCTCATAGAGTCATCTCTCTAACCGCAACCAGAACTGTGACATAGTGTTGGTACCTTGCTGGTTGCTAGGCTGGGGCTGTGGGAGACCCCCACTGGCTGTTGTCTGTACCACGGCCCAGCAGAGTAGCTGATGGGACAGGGAGGTAACCTGTTCCACCGGTTACCTCCCAGGGAGAGAAACAAAGGAAGGAGGGGAGGCCACCCCCTCGCTGGTGGGCAGGGCTGGAAGGGACGTCTTTAGTTTCTGTCTGGGAAGCAGGGGAGAAGGAGCTAGGGAGGGGGCTGGGATTTTAGGGCCCAGCCACCCCCCATCTCAAGGGAGGGGGGCACTGAGGCCTCCTAGCCCTAGTTCCTGTAACCAGATTACATCTGTGCTGTGCTGTATCCTGGAGAAGCAATAAACTCCCTCTATTCTACTGGCTGGTGGAGTCTGTTTGTGCCACTACGGAGGTGCAGGAGGTGGGGGAACCCCGATGGGCCGCTACAAGAATCAACACCAGTAATCCAAAGTATACCAGCGTTGATGTGGGAGTCATCGGGGGCACCAAGACCTTCAGTGGCACTGAGCTCTGGTACCACTTCTCAGCACTGTTCGCAATCTCTGGTGCTGCAGAAGAAAAAGAGACCCGCATGGGCAGGTCTTCGTCTCAGCATGAAGACAGAGCACATCCACTGGCAGGACACTTTATAGCTCCAGCGACCTTGTTGCACCTGTGTGCTCCTGATAGGTGCAAGTTGAGCTCGGAGTGGGTGGTCAGCCTTGACTTACAGGACATGCCTGTGGAGTACGTCCACCAATCCTCCACACCAGACACCTTCGACACTGCTTGTCGTTTGATAGAGCTGATGTCTTCTCTGAGCTCGGCACTGCCGACTGATTGCCATGAGGAGGCCTGCAATTTGGCATCATCGAACAGGCAGTTAGTATCAATAGCAGCGCCATCAACATCAGTGTTGATAGACACTCCTCTCCACCTCCCAGCACCAGATCATCTTCTGGCACCAGCCCAGGCTCCTGAACTGGGCCCACCTTCAACCCATATGCTCCCACCACAGCGTGTTTGGCACTGGGGTAAGCTGAGCACAATGGCCCACCACCATCTGACACACAGTTTTCTGGCACCAACTAGGAATGTTAGATATCTGGTAATTGAATGGTTGAGTAACCACATAAATTCTTACCGGTTACTCGACTATTCTGTTGTCCCTGAGTGTGAAACTGGCAGACAGTGCAATCCAGCTCGACTCCCAGGGAACCCCCTGCCACCCTGTGCTGCTGCCTCTGTCCAGACCAGCTGCTTGCCACCCAGCGCTGCTGCCTCTGATACAGAAGCAGTGCGGGATGGCAGAAGCTCCTTTTCAAGGAGTCCGAGCTCCCTGTGGACAGAGACTGCTGTGTATTTGCAAGCGGGCGGGGGGGAGGGGGAAAAAAGGCTGCCATGAAGCAGCCTCTGTCAGTGGTGGCCTGGGCTGGCTGCAGAGAGAGACTGGGCTGGCAGCAGCCTCTGTCCGTGGGAGGTCCCAGCTCCCTGCAGACAGAGGCTGCTGTCAGGGATGAGTCTCTCTCCGCTGTGGGCCCAAGGTTGCTGTGGACAGAGGCTGTGCCATGGGCTGCAACAGGGTGGGGGGGCAGGCAGTACCGTGCAATCAGTGCTGAGGGAAACCAGCTTTTGAGCTGGTTCCCGCTCCCTGCCCCCTATGCTGACTCTTGATATCGAAGCGACAGGGGGAATGCATAAGAGCATTAGAATGATACTGGTTGCTCACCAGAGTGCTACACAAAGGACTCTGGCACACGGACACCAACACGTGGCACTGCTGCTTCTGCCACTGTCAGCTCCTGCTCAGCCGTTGAGCCAGTAGGAAGACTTTGACATGTTCGAGGCTGCCAGGGACCTCATAGCCACAATGGCTCACTTTCTGCCGTGGCTAGCTGCCTTAGAGCTAGGGCAGTTGCAAGCCCCTTGGCCTCCAGGCATGGAGTTGGGCTCGGCACAGGCACTGCATGCCTCACAGGTAGGACTCTGCCTCATGTCACTACCGTTTCCCAATATGTGCCCACCCTGGTGTGGTACTGAATGCTCTTCAGACTCAGCAGATGAATCATTGATATCATTCCAAAATGGGTACCGCTCCCATTCCCAGCACTTACCTGTTCTCTGCCCCAGACTGCTCACCTCCGCTGAAAGCCCTACAATCCCTCTAGGTCCATTGTAAGCTAGCTTTCCACCTTCTTAGTACTTGAGCCAGTTGCACATCACTGAGGTTCTTTTAGGCTATTGCTGAAGGGTCCTTGGGTCCAGCTCTCTTCTTTTAAAGAATTTCCAAATGTGTGTTCTGGAATACTACAACTAGTCAGGTGTACCCAGCTTGATAGAACCAGAGTTCACTCTACACGAGTGCAAGCTGCCACATCAGCCTCATTGAGCGGATGTGTCATGAGAAGGCTTATGTCATGCATCCACCTGGTGCTCCATTGGCCAACCTGTAGTGAGAACTGCACTTCCATTATCTCTATAGTCAACTCTGCACTGATGACTGCTTGTGAGTCAAATGTGTGTGGAATATGCATAGGGACCTTTGCTTGAAGAGAGGAAGATGTTATTTACCGATAACTGGAGAGTCTTCTAGATAAGTGGTCCCTATCTGTATTCCATTACCTGTCTTACATTCCCTCTGCTTTCAAACTTTAAGATGGCAAGAGGGAAACTGGAGAGGTGTCAACCTCTATGCTGCCTATTATATCCTCATTTGGGAGCATGCACACATGACGGTCATTGGACACTGGTAAGAAACATTTCCAGACCTTGGTACATGGTAGGCACGTGCACCCATGTGTGGTATACAGATAAGAACCTCCTGTTATAGATAACCGCCTCTTAACGGAAGACATTTTGATCTTTAGACAAAATATTCTGTATAAATCATTTATTATTTCCTTTGAAATTGGACTTGTTTACATTGCAGTTTCAGTACTGTTTTTATTTTAAAGAATATTTAGTCTATGTATTTTAAATAATGTATGATACATTTTATTGTATTATTATTATCAACTTGTTAAAATGTTATTGGACACCTAATATGTTCAGGGCACTATAATACCTCACCTAAATGAAAGCATTGGTGTCCTCAGGGTTAACGATTGTATATTACGAGTAAATGAAGTGGATGTTCGTGATGTGACACACAGCAAAGCAGTTGAAGCGTTAAAGGAGGCAGGATCCATTGTGCGGTTGTATGTCAAAAGAAGAAAGCCAGTCACAGAAAAAATAATGGAGATAAAACTTGTTAAAGGGCCTAAAGGTATGTGTCAAGTATAAAGCTTCTGTTACACAAAAAAAGAAAAAGTTGCCATCAAATTGCAGGCCTCAATTTCTTGGTGAATACACAGAAATTGTATTAGTCCACATTACTAATGGAACTTTTGAGGATTGACAGTAACAGAATAATGCAAATAACTCAGATAAATTTTAAGTGCAGAGATAAAGTTATTAATTGTTCTGGCACACTTCACCTAGCAAGCATAATATTTGTCTTTAAATGCAAGGAATTTGTGAGGAGTTAAATCACTTCCTTGATAATAGTCATTTTTAAGAGGAATACTCTGGTGATCGCACTGGAATAAACTTTTCATGTAAAAAATGACTTTTTCTGCTTGTTTCTGTACTTATACGTTATGGAACATCGCAAAGCTATTCTTCTAAGTGATATAATTGGGTAATCATTACAGTTACAGTAACTTGAGCTGTGTGGTTGCCTCACCTACATTTCTCTGTAAACGTTGCATCTCCGTCAAAAATTAAATCTCTTTTTTTTGTTTAAGGGAGCGATCTGATCATTTTACTATGTTGAAAAAAATCAGTTATTGTTTTCACAGGTATAATTTGCCTGCTCAATAACCTGTCATGTTAAATTATTATTATTTCTATAGCATTGTAGTGGCTCAGGTCACTATTGTGATTATCATCAAATTAGTATTAAGAGTTTTAAACGATCTGTGGAAAAATAACTTTATTTTCAAGCAGGACTTGGGTTCAGCATAGCTGGTGGTGTTGGAAATCAGCATATTCCTGGTGACAACAGTATCTATGTAACCAAAATTATTGAAGGAGGTGCAGCACATAAAGATGGCAAACTTCAGATTGGAGACAAACTTCTAGCTGTAAGTAAAGGCTGTACTTTCCCTTCTGGGCATACTACTTATTGGTACATACAAAACAATGCTCTAATTCAGTGAAGTATGAAGGGAGCTGTCTATAGACCAGGCAAGACAGATCCATCATACATATTGTATCTAGAACTTAGTACAAACAGATTCTTGCAAAGAAATGTAAATATTGTAATAAATTCTCCTTCTTCATTGCTTCTCAATTCAGAAAATAACTTGGTTAAATATTCTATTTAAAAATCAGACCTGAATCCTGTAGCAATCAATATGCTTCGTTTCCAGGGTTTGCCCTTAAGTCTCTAGAGAAGCGGGACAATTCCAACTTTTAAAATAGCCTTTGGTACCACTATCATCTATTGTCCTAAAAATCCCTAAAGGGTAAGGAATCCAGTTACTTTTTTCTGCATACCTGTAAGTAAGGATGACTCGCCTGGAAGTAGATGTATCTTCTTATATTGGTTTACAAAATTCAGTGCTATTCATTAGTGTTTTATTTAGGTTTTGTCTGTCTTTCAAAGCAAGCGCATGAAAGCTGACTTGAGCGCGTAAGAGAGAAAAATAATGCTCTTCTCACCAGTAACCCTATAATGTCCATAGCATACTCCAGGGGTCTCATCATGAAACTAGGAGGCAGGTTTTAATTCCAGCTAGTCCAGCCAGGTACAGTCACACTGAATAGTACTTTACTCTGCAAAAGCAAAGAAAATATTCATAGAATAAAGTATGACTGTCAACTAATTGCAGTTTAACTCAAGCAATTAACTCAAGCAGTTAACTGTGATTGCCGTTTTAATAACACTGTTAAACAGTAATACAATACCTATTACATTTATAATAAATGGCTTTGGGTGTTTTTCTACATTTTCATAGGTATTGATTTCAGTTACAACAGAGATTACAAAGGGTACAGTGCTCACTTGTATATTATTTTTTGAGTTGTCAAGCAGTTAAAAATTGAGTAATCATGTGATTTAAAATCATAATTAATTGTGTGGTTAATCACTCTGTTTAACAATCATAGAATACCAATTTAACTGTTTATGTGTATTCTGTATTGTTTAGCAATATGATTAAAAACTGATTAATTGCAATTAATTTTAAAATAATTTGACAGCCTTAGAATAAAGTGATCCTTGGTCTAAGAGTAAGAATCTGATCCTTCCTTTTTGGGGTTGGTGGGTAATCTGTGGATTAGGGAGATGGTATGGCAGCAGAGAGAACTATTTTCCACAGTGACATTCTATCATGTGCCGAAAGTGTCCGTCTGCTATGTACATTGGACAAACATCTCAGACACTTCGCCAAAGGATTAATGCCCACAAAACAGATATCAGACAAGATCACAAAGAAAAAACAGTTTCTTGCCATTTTAACCAGAAAGGACACTCTCTCAATGACTTAACCACCTGCATTCTGCTACAAAGACCTTTTACATCTGCACTTGAAAGGGAATCCTCTGAACTGTCATTCATGTTAAAATTCGACACTCTCCAAAAAGGAATGAACAAACACTCGAACTATCTTACCCATTACCAAGATAGCTTCCCCAATTATCACCTCTAATACCATTAACTCACAAACATCCCACTCTCCCTACCTTTAATATCATCAATTCACAGACACTTACCTTCCTTCCTCCCCCTCCCCCACCCCGCATCTCCCTTCTGTTCTGCAATGTGATTTGTCCTTTTCATATTTGTTCATTTTTTTTAATTGTATCCTTTGGTATATATGGTTGTGACTATTTTCTTCCACTATTTGATCTGAGGAAGTGGGTCTGGCCCACGAAAGTTCATCATCTAATAAACCATCTTGTTAGTCTTTAAAGTGCTACATTGTCCTGCATTTTGCTTCAGCTACCCCAGACTAACACGGCTACATTTCTATCACTATTCCACTAGGGAGGTTCCCAGGTTTACCTAGCAGCATGCTTCTATTGCAATTCAATTGCATGGCACAGAAAGAAATCTAAAGACAGGGAGAAAGCATCCATGTTGATAGCTGTATCTCCAGTAGTTCATGGCGGATTTATGAAACTCAGAGATCCAAACTCCTAGTTTGCAGAGCTATACTTTCTCTTCACTTCAGTGCAACCACAGAGTTTCATGCCCAAGCCCCTCTGAATTGAGTTTACGGAACAAATTTCATTTGAGTACCAAATGTGATATTATATAAGCACTGAATAAACATTTTCAACATAAGTATTTAAATGTGTTACAGTAGTGCCCTAACCAGCATCAGGACCTCATTATGCTTGAATTTGTATAGAGACAGTATAAGGGTCAGTCCTGAAAATTAGTTTTGGTGCTGTCTGTGTATAAAATCTCCATCGGTCATTTGGGCTCTGCAGGCACAGGCAAAATTTTAAATTGGCCTTCAGCATTTGGAAGATGCTATATTGAATATTCTGTACTAGCCACTGCTTCTAAATTGGACCGAGATGCTAATTCTACCCAGCACAAGTTCTGTTTCTCTCTGACATTAGTGGTGGAAAGCCAAACATAGCACATCGTTTCCATTTTCATCTCTAATTCCAGTTGGGTGGGGGAGAGGAGAGAAAAAAGTCTGTGTCAAGTTTCTCAAAAATGAGTCTTTAAATTTAAGCTATGTCCAATTTAGGTACATTCTTCAGGTCCAGGGAATTAATTGGAAGCAGTGAGTATATTTGGGTATGTCTACACTACCACCCTAGTTCGAACTAGGGTGGTAATGTAGGCAACCGGAGTTGCAAATGAAGCCCGGGATTTGAATTTCCCGGGCTTCATTTACATCTTGCCGGGCGGTACCATTTTTAAATGTCCGCTAGTGCGGACTCCGTGCCGCGCGGCTACATGTGGCACGGACTAGGTAGTTCGGACTAGGCTTCCTATCCCCAAGTAACGGTAGTTACTCTGCCCCGGGCTTCCTGGAATCAGCCTCTGATCAGTTTCAACAGGCTGAATCTGGACGCCACTTCCGACTTACATACAGATTCAACTTAAGAACCCCAGGCGTCCCCAAGTCAGCTGCTGCTGAAACTGATCAGCGGC